AGTCTCCGTTCTGTCTCGTGGACAATATCAATCGGACTTTGTCCTCATGAACTTAAATTCTTTGCATGGTTATAATTATTATTCTATTGGTCTCCTTTCAGAGTACATTTAGTTAAACAATATGAGACTCTAATACTATCACAATTGAGCCCCAAATTTATGTTGTTAAGTGAAACATTTATTAAATGAGTTTTGCACCATTTAGCAACCTTTCTTGATGCAATTGTTAAGTGAATCACTGCGGTTGTTAAATTAGGAACACGGTTGTTAAGTGAACCTGGTTTCCCCACTGACTTTGCTTGTGAGAAAGTCACAAAGGGGATCACATAATCCTAGGATGCCACAACTCTCACAAATATTAACCACTTGCCAAGCATCTGAATTTTGATGACGTGACCATGGGGATGCTGCAATGTTCTGAGTGTGAAAAACGGTCATAAGTCACTTTTTTCAGCATCATTGTGACTTCAGTCACTGTTGTTAGTCGAGGACTACCTGTAGTAAATTTTGCTCCGCTTTTTAAATAGCAATATAATACAGTCCAATTTACATCTGACTTACGCTAGCTACATGTATTACAACCTTATGATAGATTTTAGTAGAGGCATAGTCCCTTGTATAAATACGAGTGCAGATACAAATCAGAATGCAATAATTTATTCCACTGACACTTGGAAGAGCGGGAGGAAGTTGCATGGAACTGGGTGAGATCAAATCAGAATGACTCAGGGGAACTTAAATAGCCTATCATTAGGAATAAGAGACTCCTTTTGATGCCTGGCGGATGAGATTTCATCTGAACAACAGCTGATAATTTATGGCATACCTGACTTTGTGAATCCACATTCATCTTGCTCTCATGCTTCCACAAACAGAGAGACTACTCAATATGCCTTTTTTGAAAGGTTTAACTGAAAACACTGTTATTCAGAATCAATAACACCACATGATAATGTATTTTCAAGGCTGTTTGATTTCGGGACTTCATTAACATAAAGGATTGATTATTTAAAACCCTCTAGAGATGTCAGGATATCACTGGTGTCTGGTATATTACAAATAAAACAATAAAACAATCCATAACACAGAGAGACAGCCCATAGATAATATTGTTTGTTAGGTTCAGCTAAAATGTTAGAAAAAAGTGTGTGGCTTTTTAGATCTCAGGAATCTTTATCACGCTGGAATAGAAACTCTCCCAAGAAATGCCAATAATTAGGGAAGTTCCAATAATCATGTTAAAGTTGTAGAAAGCCACAGCTTACAGACAGACAATGGTACTTGATCTCTGACTATTATTGGCCAGCAGTGGCGCCAGAAGTGGGTTCCTACCAGTTCACACCTATTCAGTAGAACCGGTTCGTCAAATCTACCAAACCAGTTAGAAGAGGTTCCACTTAACAACATAAATTTGGGGCTCAATTGTGATAGTATTA